ATGGTGTTGATTAAGATGACCATTGACTGCTTCATGACCAATAAGAGAGACATGTTTGCTCGTGATTCGGCGACCAGCCCTAAGTTTTGGACCCCAATGCTTCTCTGGATTTGGAAGAAAACGAGCTACTTTCTTCGCCTGCGCCTTGCTCAGCGAACCAATGTGACGCGAAAAATCAACCTGTCCAAACACGAGGCGATATCGGAAAACAGATTCAAGCTTTATTCAGTTTCAAACAAGTTTAGAGAAATCAAGAAAAATACCTGATGTGATGGTTCTCTGGACAAGATCACACTTCCGGGGTGTTCAGGCGATTGCGCCTTTATAGGATGATTCTTTACCTACACAACATAACATTCAACCAAAGAGAAAAACCATCAAAGACAAGATTGGTTAAAATGAAACACAGTCGCATTTTTGAATCATCAGTTTGGTTTACCCAGCAGCGCATGATGTCCCAGATAATCTCCATAGGAGCATCGGTTTTCATACCGAGCGGATTCACATGAGTCCCTGAGATACGGTATTGAGCATTAATAACCGCTGATCTAAACATAGCAGCTGATGGCGAAATGCATTTTAGCGTCGCACAAAGATTATGCAGACTCAAAAACAGAGGAACATCTACCAATTCCTGAAAATATATAGAGACATTAAATCAATTCTCTCTTTTTAACGGTTTATTCTGAAATCTGAACACACAAAATCCCACAACTTGCCTCGGAGACCGTAGTAAGTACAGCGTAGATCCGGTCATAAGCAGGATATCTGTCTTTCATGGATTTAACACTGTTCAATATCGAAGTCACCCATTCTTGATCATGCATTGGAGCAGACCATATTGGTCCGCCCATGTTATATTTCTTCCCACAGTGGCTGCACTCCTGTGCCACAACTGGACCAGTTGCTGGTAGATACCTCACACTGTTGTTCTGCAAAAAAAATTAAGATGATCGAATATTTATAAGAAAACGGTTTCAAGAGTATTACAAGCAATGGGAACTATGTTATACACATCGAATCATTGGCTACATTCCAAGTTTCTATCACCGTAGGAGATGCATTNCATAGAGAATTATAGGTGCATATACCTTAGAAAGAGATCTTCCAACAGGTTGAAGATGAAATGAATCACAACCAATGCATTGATAGACGTAAGAAAGCTTCAATGGAGTGTTCTTCATTGCACTCGCAGAGCTGGCAAATTCATTAAGCTTCGAGGTTTCAGTGAATCAAAAACAAAACAAAATATTTTCCAAAATCTGTATAGCTGAGATGTAAGGTGTTTGGTTAGACAAGGAAAAACTCACGTGTAGACGCGGACAAAAACACGAACATAAAAATCCATTTGCACAGATAGCACCGGAACAATATACCGCTTGTACCGGTTTGCATGGCTCTACGTTAAAAAAAAGTAACCAAAAGGTGAACAAGAACATAAGAAAGCAATCTAAACCTGCTAGAATTGACGATAATACAACAAGGAAAAAAAGGATGATTTCATAAAATTGGAAATGACTGAGTAACAAACCTCGATGCTGGCAAGGAGGATCCGCAAAGCCATCTCATGACAATACTTCCCTCTCAATGGGTAAGAGCCATATCTGATATATCAAAGGTTAAAGATCGGTTTAGCCAAATCGCATAATTGGTACATGTTCATACAAAGATGTGAAGGGATAAAACACTCACTTGGAATAGCAAACTTCACCGTTACCACCACATAACACTGCCATGTCAGTTGCTGTACACATAAGCAATCCACCATCCGCGACTGATTGAACAGCTGAGTCAAGGAAAATAGATGGTGATCCATATGGATCAAGATCAACCTAAGAACATTATTAACCAAAGTTAGTTTAACACAAGCAACTATAACAAAATTAACAGAATAATGCGGATAAAAGAATTCTTACCACATCAAATTCTTTCGGGTTGGTAAGCATATGTACACGAGCATCGGTATGATGTGACTCCACCTTTGAAATAGCCACCGAGCCATTGAACTTTATGTTTCTCTGGCAAGCTTCCACCGATGCTTTTAAAAGGGAAAATGAACAACATCAGAATATTGGTATTGCTAACCAAAGTCCAAGTCCTCTAATCTAATTCATAAGATTCAAGAAAAAGTTACCTAGATCATTGTCTAATGCCACAACCTGACCAATTCCTTCTATTTCGCGCGCATATCTTAGAGCCCGTAATCCAGAAGCAGACAAAGCCTGAAATTTAAGTATGCAAGAAGACTTATCTAACTGCAAGATCACAACAAGCAATGAAATAAACCAGAAATCGAATGAAGAACGTAGGAAGACCTCAAGCACTTTTGGCGGCTTGGGTTCTCTACGTGCAAATCCTTCCTTTATCTCGGCAGGTTCTTTTGAAGCAGAGCTTGGTCCATCCTCAGATTCTATTTTGTGTTCTCCATTATTCATACCGTTCTCGATAGGAGTTTCATCCTTTAAAGCTTCAGAAGAATCCTTCTCGATCACTTTGGAAGCTGATCTTCTTTTAGATAACTTAGCCTCATGCTCTTGCTTACGTTTGGATATAAATTCTCTTAGAACAGCAATGGACATGTCTCTGTTGTTTACCTAACCATTAAACATAGACAAAAGCAATAAGTTCAAGCTCACACTTAAAACCAAACCATGTAGCTTCAAACAAGCACATTATTCTTCACAACTAGATTCCTTGGCAACTTATCATGGAGCTGGTGAACAATCAAAATTTCTGATAAAGTTTGGTGCCTCAATGAACACAAAAATTAAAACTTTAAAAACAATAAATGAGAGAGCTTTCAGAGATTGACAAATTCTTTTAGTTTTCAGAACAAGTCATAAGCTAATTGATACAAGTAAAATCAATGTTCAGTGGTCTTAACAAAGCTACAACATTTAAG